CGAGAGGGAGGAGGAAGAGGAATACACTCACTCCCCCCAAGGCAGGGTAATTCGCTGATCTCTACTGCTGTTCATTCTTTTAATTATAGGCGGGGCGAGCTTTTCGGATCATTGCCTCCCTCTCGATTTCACTTTTAAACGAGTCTGCGAAACGTGATGTATCCAAACTCAGCCCTTTGATACGCGTTTTTGAATTATCCCAACTGAATGTACAATAAAAACGCGAGGTTAAGTTTTTGGACGGGTTCAAAGGCCTACACGCCTACACAGACTCTTTGAGATGATTAAGGAATACGAGTCACAATGTATTGATGACACGACTCCCTCCCTCTTTTTTTTTTTTTTTTGTTTTTTGTTTTTTGTTTTTTAATTTCAACGAGCAAGTCCACTTGTGAAAGCCCGGCATATAATAATAATAAACCTTTCAATTTTTGCAAGAGCCCTCCTGCGCCTCTCCGTAAATACATATGTGCACCCACACCACGCGACGTACATTGGTTTTTACACACACACACACACACACACACACACACACACACAGATAATATTAGTCCAGGGGGGTATAGTTCTCGAATTCCCAGCTATCGTGTGCTTATATATGTCATTGACATATTGCAACAAAAATATAAATGTATAAAATCGTGAGTCGCACTACGCAACATTCATGCAGACAAAGACTCATAATATTTGCCATTCCACCAACAATGTGACAAAGGATGATGATAAATGTCGGAAGTGGAAGGTGGAGAAAATGGATCTGTCGAATTATTTAATGCCAATACAAAATACGAGTAAGTATGTAGATTAACACATGTATGTTGTAATGATAATTTTAATTAAAAGTAAGTACAGAAATTTCGTGCACCGACGCCGGTGGCCAATTAATTTTAATGAAACAAGTTTTGCTAATGTTGGCCTCCTATTGTTGTAATTGTAACTAGATGGAAGCGAGATAAAATTCCAGTGCGTTCATAAGCCGCGATGCTCCATTTTTTTTTTTTTTTTTCAACGGAAGAGCGATGGACTCTACGACGTTAGAGCGAATACGTGAAAATTAATCATGAGAAGATGGAAACTGTGCAGGTTTCATTTCGAAACTCGGTTTTCGTTGCTCGAGTGACAAAAATACAAAAAAAAATTCGAAAAAATTGGCCTCTGTGAAGTTGTAGAGTGTATGTTTGGAGTATTTATTCGAGAGAGAAAAAAATATATATATATAACGGCAATGTATTCAATAATATTGCAGGTGTTGAAGAATTGCTGTTTTGGTTTTTCCAGCCCAAGGTACAACGAAGAAGGAAGAACATAAAACAACCAGAAACAGCAAACGGGTGGTTTTGGTCTACATAGATGCACACGCGCATACGTTGAGCACAATAACCAGTAGGTAAGTAGATATACATCTCGAGCGCGGAACGTGAGAGATAGTCGCACCTCGGACCGCGAGAAAAAATCCCGTGGTGGGCTCAAACCACCCATGGGTATATATGTGTACACCTACACAAACTCGCATGTAAATATGCATTTTATATTCATAGGGTTGAACGTATGTGTATCCATCACCTTTGTGACGGTGTGTTGACTGAATGGCTCCACGTTATAGGTATACGTACCCGTCCACATAAATAATGTAAATTGGTGCATCGAGAGGTGAGGAGGAAGAAACGCAGGCTACCCATATTATATTATATATATATACAGGGCTCGCAGGGTAGCAAAAGCCGGCTATGCTATAGCTGCGTTGCTGCTGGATTATCGGTGGCGATATAATTATGTGTGTGTGTATAATTGGATATTGGTATTGGGGCTTATAATATGCAGTGCGTGGTATATGTAGGGCGTGGCGCCGCCAGCAGTACCTATACATATACAATATTACTATATCGGGTAGGTATAGGTACCTAATAATGCAGCCGGCACTGGCGAAACTTACGACTGTTCAGCAAAGGCCAGCTATCCATAGCGTTAATACTTATGTAATATATTCACGAGGTACTTACCCCTTTCTTCCTTTCAATGTAATGCTCTCCCTCTCTTTTGGTCCAGCCCCCCTCCCCCCACCTCCCATCATCCGAGTAATCGACTCTAGAGTTAAGCGTAGAGTATAGTTTAATATTTTTAATTACGAGAACACGTGATCCAAGTTTTATTCGGGTGGTCAGGGACGTGGACGAACGTTTCTTAAATGAAAAAACTCACGCGTGAAACTATACTTACCAGAAAATTGTTACGTGGTGATCAGTAATGAAAGGCATTAAGTATGGAATAATGCAGCCAGACGTTGAAAATTTCACACAAATCGTATCTTTAATATATATCCAGCTTCAGTATGATTACAAAAGATGCAATTTGCTTGTGTGTACCAATGACGATTACATTATAATTTGTGATTGGAAGTAAGGGTGGGTGTACGGTAAAATATTGCATCATCCGTTTGGTAGTGAGTGGTGTAACCGCGTAAATATGTGAACAATAAAGAGGGAGGAGAGCAGCTGAGACGGGGGGGGGGGGGGGGGGGTGTGTGTATAGACAAACGAATAAAAGCGGACCAGTGCCTGTATATAAAAGAGGACATTATCATCATCATCATCTCGTATACCCTATAGCGAGGGCCTCAGAAGGGTTCGAGGAGGGTATTTATTTTCTGCTGCAAATAGGCGTGTTGTTTTGTGCAACAGCACCAAGTAGGTATAGGTATAATTCATACCTAATAAGAGTAATCCCTCTTGGACCCCAGGAGACGACGACGACGACGACGACGAACGCAGGGGGAATTTCGCTCTCCAAATCTCGCAAATTACTGCATCGGAAGAAAAGAGAAAGAAGAATCCGCGCGTGTCTATGTAATGTATACATATACCTACACCATGTGCACTTGGCCATCGTACCCTATAAATATAATACACCCTCCTCCTCCTCCCTTTAACCCCTGTCTTTGCTTTTCCCTACCTACTTGCTACCGCGTCTCGCAATAACTACTCCCTTACATTTATCTATACCTACCTACTTACGTACTTATGGGGAACGCGCGCGCTCGCTACCACCGGACGTCCGAGTGCTTTGCCCGGCGATCCGCAACAGTACACTCCTCCTACCCCTTTCCTCCCTTTTGTAAGGGGTCGTTGGGTTATTGTTGCCGTTGCGTATATACCAACATAATTTTTTTTTTTTTTTTTTCCTCAAAGTTGGTACAGCCCCGCATACACTCCTCGAGCCATGTAACTATACTGTGGGTGGAGGAGATATTATCGCGCGTATATAGTATAATTACACGTGCTACATTCTTCTCCCTTGATTTCTTCTTTTCTTTCCATACCTATAGGTTATACTTATTCTTCGGCTATAGTTGGCGACCGCGTGCACGTTTTTTCTATATACCGTAAACAACCACCAACCCCCTGATCCGTGCATATATACATATGTATATTTTTGTACCTCCCCTTTCAGGCACTCTCTCTCTCTCTCTCTCTCTCTCTCTGTCGTGTATCCACGTTTTACATTACAGGTGTATAATATATGTAGGCGCTACTGCGCGGCCCACGGGACTATTGATTTAACAATCTCAAGGTTCCTTTCTTCCTTCGCCACTTATTTTATTTTATCTCGCTGTACACGTATATAAAGGCCCATGTATTATTATTATTATTATTGTTATTATCATTATTATTATTATCATTATTACTATTATTGTCCCCAAAAATCGTATTTCAATATAATATTATACCTGTATACGTGCAAGCTTTTCAGAGATCTCGTTGCTTACCAATCTAGGTTTCTTTTTTTTTTTTTTTTTTTTTTTTTTTTTTTTTTTTTTTTTTTTTTTTTTCTTCCCACCCCGTCGCAGCACGTTATATGTCTATCCAGCGAGAGCTTATCGAGCCAAGGCGTTAATGCGCACACGACACTTTGCATTAGGCGATGGATTAGTCTCTCCAGCATCGACCAGCCGGCTTGCATTAATTCGTTTGCCTTTTTTTTTCCTATCGTGCCTTGGAACATTACGATAGTCCGCTCGATCGAGTGTGTAATAATATTCGCGATGAGTATTTAGGTTAATTTACTTTGTAAGAGGTTACTTCGATAAATTTCTTTTAAATATATATGATGTGTAAAACGTAGCACATAGTTAAAAATGAATTTTCGTCTCCGAAGAAAAGCACATTAAATAACATTCAATGAGGAGGGAGTATAGAAAACAAAACAAAAAATCATCCTCAGAGCTCATGTCACGTAACAATTAATGCACCTGGGGAGGTCAATCTATTGTTTATATACATTGCATCGCTCATGCACCTAACTTTATCTTAATAACTATATATTTTCCCAACGTATAGGCAAACGCGTCGGTACAAATTAGCTGGTAAATTATGTAAGCGTGTGCAAGAAAAACCTATTACATACAATTTGGAGCGAGGAGTCCCGAATAATTACTTACCGCACTAAATTTTAAAACAATATTCAAGACGCGCCTGTAAATAATCGGCTTAGTTTTCCCCGAGCACTTCTTGCCAAGCCGCTTGGAAGTAAATCGAAAACTTAACAGTGCACACTTTACAAAATACTCCTAATGAGCTTTTAAAATTCATACGAAAGCTCGACCGAAGATGATGGTTAACGATTTTCTTGATTTTTTTTTTTTTTTTTTTTTTTTTTTTCCTCCACTCAACTCAAATTTTGCAATATACCTCACACGTACATAAACGTCGTGCACATTTCATCACTCGTTTGATCTCATTATTGCTGCAACAACAAGTGGGGGGATTCGACTGTTAGATTTTACATGAAAGCGGCTAATGACTACTTATAGACCTAATGTATTCAACTAAAATCACAAATCTATTATGTCTTATTCATAGTTATGTACTTTTGATTATCTACTATTTTCCTTTTTGTAGACCCCCCCCCCCGCCCTACGCGGTTAAAACTACACGTCGCTATATACTTATTAATCCAAGAATACAAGAAATTAAAAAAAAAAGATTAAAAAAAATTGTTCGTACTTTTTGCCGTTGCGCCTGCGCCTTTTGGTAGCGTAGACGGTGCCGAGTTGGCTCATGGCCACGGGATTGTTGGGGCTCGCGGCGACGGCCGCCGGTGCCGAAGTTGGCGTCATCGTCGCGGTGCAGGCCGCCGTCGTAGCACTGCAACTGCTAGTACTGCTGACACCCAGCTGCTCTTGCACCAACAATTGTTCACTCGTGTGTTGTTGCTGCGACAATATGGGAGGGGGCCCATCGAGGGCCTGGGGTAGTAGACTCGACGGGGGCGCATAACATGTCTGCTGCTGCTGCTGCTGCTGGTGGTCGGCAAAGTGGCTTGTGCTAATGCCGCCCGGCCCAAGGACCCCCAGGCCCCCGGCTCTTATCTCCAGCGCGTACACGGCTACGGGTGATCGGCCCTGGCGCCCGTCTTCCCGACTATGGTTATCAAAATTGCTACAACACTGACGATGCCAAACCTCCGCGGGCCTCCCGTCATTATACTCGTTAGCTCTTTTTTTTTTTGTTCTTTTCCCTTCTTCCTCACTTATTTCTCTGTTCTCTGACTATACAAGTACTTGAACTGAACAACCGTACAACGTCCTCATCATCACGGCACACAATTTTTATTTCCAACTTACTGTAGGTACAGTCGTATTGGTTGTTGTATACTTTGCTCGGGTTTCGAGGAATTTTCCGAAAACTATGTAAAGAAAAAATTCGTTGCACAGTCATCGGGCACGGGGACGAATTGCAAGTACAGTATTACATACTTACTCGCGAGTCGCGTAACAGATAAAGTACGCGCACATTGCACTTACATAGTATTTAATTATTTAATAAAAACAATGTCATGGCAGATGATTAATGATAACGCGTTACCCACGATGCGAACTCACGGACGACGACTCGTGCACTGGCGGCAACCGAGACGTGGGGGCCTCTCGGCTGCGTCAGCCCCCTCTCCCGCCTGTCGCGCCAGCCCTCCCCACTCGGTCAGTATTTCAAAGTACGTATAGCTCATCGTGAGCCGCGAGACCACGCCTACTGCCGAGCTGGGCTGCCCAATCCGTCGAGCTGGCGAGGCAGCATGGCGACGCGCCTACAATACTGCCCTCCCTCCCCTCCACAGTCACCCTCGTGTGTATGCCCTCCTCCCCAGCCTTTGATACCACCGCCTACTTACTTACTCCTGCACTTCACACTTTTCACTTTTCACCTCTGTTTTTTTTCTGCACCGATGCACTTTGTCGCGACATGCGGTATCTACATAATATTATACTCTATACCGTGTTGCGTACTTACCTTATACAGTAATTTATACCCATACATGTGTCATAAATACATACATATATCGGGTATCTCTGTTATCACACGCTTATTTTTATTTTATTGCAACCCCCTTCCCCGCCCGCTATTTTAACCGCTCTATACTTACAGTCAACAGGCAGTGGGATTTGTTCTCTCTCCGTGCGGTCATATTGGGTCAGAGAAGAAAAATGCTGCAAGGGGTTGTCACTGTGTACGGGTAGTGTAGGTACAGGGGGTTTCCGCGGTTTTTTTTTTTTGTTGTTCTCCCTCTGATAGGTGGTATGTGTGACACTTGCATGCATATGTGTGCAGCGAGTACCTAATAATATGAATAAAAAGAATAAATGAGATATATAATATATAGTACACCGATGTAGGCGAGATTCTTGGGGTGTGCGTATAATAATAATAATAACTTTTTGTTATTTTTTTTTT